AGCGGGATCATTCGTTGTTGATCCCAGTTCTAGTCAGAAAAATTTTTAGTTCTTGGTTCGCATTTAGTAATACGTGTACTAGCGAAAAATGTGATATCATTTTCTAGCAGTATCGATGAGTCCAAGACATCTTGTATGACCTTTAATATCTTCCCTCTCGAAAATTCATTAGTTTTTTAACTTACGAATACTTTGTCTATTCTGCACGTTTATGTATTCGACAACTCTGTTGTTTACGGAGAAGAGGATTAATTTTACGATCAAAATTGTACGAGGAAATATTGAAATGCTTGTTACTCAATAATTTTCACATAAACTTTTAGAACATATGAGTCTTTAGAATATGATATGTGACACAAGTTTACACGATCATAAGAGATATGAAAGTGTTGGGCCTGGTCCCACTCCCGTCGAGATTGGAACCATCTTGTTCATATCTAGTATCATTGCAAATATCATATATCTTTAAAAGATTTCGAACTATAATGTATTTTTCGAATCATTCATTGATGGAAATCAAATTTTATAAGATTATTTCAGTAGATATTTATTTTTATTTGAATTGTAATTTTAGTCAGTTTTTGTTCCGTGATGCCTATAGATGCTTTGTAAAAACTAAATTTATATCAAATAATAACTTATCTATCGTAGATTTTGAAACAATACTTCGAATATTTGTTGCGAAGAATCTTTATTGTCGTTCAAATATATACACAAGGTCACATTGTGAATAAGATCAAAGTCAGTGAATCGAAACTTTTGGAGTAATTCAAGAATTTTTTGTTCTACTCTTCAAGGGCACAAAATGATTTTCCTTAGGTTGAAATGATTGTATTTGTTTCTCCCCTTAGATTTATGTTCGAAACAACACTGTATACATTATGTTTTGTTGAATCTATCTCGACTTCAATCTGATGACGAGCACTAAATGATAAGTATATTAGCACTTAGCGGACGTGATTCAAAACTTTTCTGCATATATTACAAATCATTAACTTGACGCTTCGGGGTGAACTTTGATTGTGGACTTTCAGGTCGAACCAGAGGCAAGAAGAGATTAAATTTATATTCAAAAATAGATAAAAAAATTCTTTTGATGTTTAACAATATCACAAGACTAACTTTTTTCATTATGAACACTAAATATAAAACTGAGATATTATTATCAACTTGCTCAAAGTCTTACAATATCAAATCATATAATCGAGTGAAGAAAATAAACATATTTTGAAATATTTATAAGATTAGAATGACATTTTTTAGTGAAGAAATTCTTTCTACACTATCTTAAATTGAAAACGCCAGTTAGATAAGTATTTGATAGACAAAAACTGGCGACTTTGTTTTTATTTTATTAATTACAGAAAACCATTATTCTATGAAAATACTTAACAAAAAACTATAGATTAAAACAGAAACTATAGGTAAAGGAAGAGCAGGTTGTTTCGATTGATTGCAAAAATATCCTATTCTAGCCGTTCCTTCTTGTCCAATTTGTACAGCGATGATATAACCAATCGTTATGCACATATTTATTATCATTGATGATAACGGAGATAATATATTTAAAAGCATCAAATTGAACACATAAAAATCACCGATACCAAGACATATTAGAATATCTTTTTCATCGAATTTATCATCATCAATGTCCCAAGTATAATAAATATTATGTAAATCAGATAGGTTTTTTTCTGAAAGTTTTTTTATTGAATCACTATTATAACGAAGCATCTGTGGATGTAGACAAGACAGCCTAACAAAAAACAAAAAATATAGATAAGAAAATACATAATTAATTTTAAATTGTGATTAAAGAAAATAATTTTTTCTTCATATAAGTTTGTCATAAAAACTAATATTTGACTGTCCGAAAACAATAAATTCACTTATCTACTTACATATCTTCAGCAGCTAACAGCCAGAAAAAGATAAACTTTATTTTTGGTGATACATATCGAAAGACGGTATTATGAGTAATAAATGCTCCAAAAGCTACTGACATACATAACCATACTCGATGAACACCAAATGAAAATATTGGAACTTCCTCTGATTCCCATTTAACAATAACGAACATAAATTGCCAAATCAGAAAATATATGGTAAGCATATCTATTTGATATCGCCAGTAAAATGCATCAAAGAAACGAGCAAGAAGCCAACCGATAATTATAGTAGCAATCAAAGGACGAACATAAATGCTAGTTTTTTGTAAACCTAAACAACACATCTGTGCCATTTGCATGACAATAATTGGTTGTAAAATATATACATTGTATTTATCTTCATGAATAAAAAAGTATTGGCACGTTTTGTTCACTGCAAAGATTTCGAGCAACGTTAGAATATAATTTTCAGAAAAAATATACCTTTCTCATTGTTCCATAAACAACGTATATATAAAAGTTGATCTCGTGTTCTATCGACCAAAAGATCTTGGAACAAGAAACCGCTAGCTCTTGTATCTTTCAGAATGCAATCCAAAATAAAAGTCATAATCATTGAGAATGTGGTAGACTGTGTCAAATATGTTTCGGAGCTCATTATTTACACTTTTTCAGAAAAACAAATCGAAATTTTTTATTTACCGTCCGTTTATGTCGATGGAATAGCGTTAGAAATAAACGTAGGCCAATCTTTTTTTTTCTCTACATAAATGTATCCGACTGTTTCGTTCAACAAATATGAAACGTGTCAAAAAAACGTCAATCGGTCAGCAAATACAAAGAAAAGACAGTATCATATAAAGAGTAATGATGTAGAGCAAAAACAGACAAAAATTGAAAGATGAATTAAGAAATGTGATTGATGTTTCCAAGTGGCAACACCAATCACATTTCTTAATTCAACTTTAAATTTTGGACACTTACATTTTTGATCCCGAAAAATTACCACAATTGATCCCGAGTACTCTTTTCGCAAAAAATTGCACAATTATATAGAAGTACAAAGCATCTATACATCAAGGTGTTCCTACAAAATGACCTGGATCTCCAAACTTTATATATCACTCAATGTTTCTTTTGTTACCTCTGGCCGCTTTCGAGAAAGATACGTCTAACTAGAATATCAAAATGGAGAAAAAAAAAACTTTTTCAACATTGTGGCAGAAACCCCACGGATTTACCCAGTTCCAAAGGAATTCTAGCCAGCACACATCAAGCCTCGCCAGTTTGAAACCAATTCCATATGAATTTCTAGAGTTCCATAGGAATGGTAGCCACCTAACACCAAGCCTTGCCAGTGGGAAACCAGTTCTATATAAATTTCTAGAGTTCCATAGGAATTGTACCCAGCTGACACCAAGCCTTGCCAGTTTGAAACCAATTCAATTTAAATTTCTAGAGTTCCATCGGAATTGTAGCCAGTTGACACCAAGCCTTGCCACTTGGAAACGAATTCCATACAAATTTCCAGAGTGCGATAGGAATTGTAGCCAGCTGACACCAAGCCTTGCCAGTTGGAAACCAATCCCATGTAAATTTCTAGAGTTCCATGGGAATTGTGGCCAGCTAACACCAAGCCTTGCTAGTTTGAAACCAATTCCATATAAATGTCTACAGTTCCATAGGAGTTGTAGCCAGCCGACACCAAGCCTTGCCAGTTTGACGCCAATTCCATGTAAATTTCTAGAGTTCCATAGGAATTGTGGCTAGCTAGCACCAAGCCTTGCCAGTTTGAACCAAATTCCATTTAAATTTCTACAGTTCCTATGGCACTGTAGCCAGCTAACACCAAGCCTTGCCAGTTTGACGCTAATTTCATATAAATGTCTACAGTTCCATGGGAATTGTAGCTTGCTGACACCAAGCCTTGCCAGTTTGAAACCAATTCCATAGAAATTTCTAGAGTTCCATAGGAATTGTATCCAGCTAACACCAAGCCTTGCCAGTTTGAAACCAATTCCATATAAATTTCTAGAGTTCCATAGGAATTATAGCCAGCTGACACCAAGGCTTGCCAGTTTGAAACCAATTCCATGTAAATTTCTAGAGTTCCATGGGAATTGTAGCCAGCTGATACCAAGCCTTGCCAGTTCAAAACCAATTCCATATAAATTTGTCCAGTTCCATAGGAATTCTAGTCAGCTGACACCAAGCCTTGCTAGTTTGAAACCAATTCCATATAAGTTTTCAGAGTTCCAAAGGAATTGTAGGCAGCTGACACCAAGCGTCACGAGTTTCAAACCAGTTTCGTATGAATTCTTAGGATTCCATATGAATTGTAGGCAGTACGATCCAATTCGAAACGATTTCAGGCCAATTCCATAACAATTCTTAGGACTCCGCAGGATTTATATCCACGTGAAACCAAGTCTAACCAGTTTCAGACCAATTCCGTGCCAATTGCTGTGATTCCATACGAATTTTAGGTAACTCTAGGGATGGACCAATTCCAATTCTTACAATTACAATTCCAATTCCGACCAGTTCCAAGTCCAATTCCAACCAATTCCTACCAATTCCAATTCCAATTCCAACCAATTCTAGGAATTGGAATTGGTTGGAATTGGAATTGGTGCATCCCTAACTTTCGTCGAACAGTTGATCTAAATCTGAACGATTATTCTAAATATTTAAGATTAAATATTAATAAAATTTCATGAAAGTAAACTATTTGATTCAATGTTATTTATCACATTTGAAAATCTTTATTTCAAATGGTTGATTATCATTCAAAGTCTCATTAATATATATTGAATAATTAATTTGTCATAAGAAGATTGAACCTTGTCCATCTATCATATGTTTTTCGAATGACACACTTTATAAGTATGTATCTCACGTTAGATCTACACTCTGGCTTCATTAATCGATGCAATTATGTTATTATCTTCCATAATTCTGTTCTATATTGAAGTGGTTTCAATGGCTCATTGTTTATGGAAACTGATATTGTGAAATTTACATTCACTTCTGATAGTTGCAGTGTCACAGCGGTTAGTCGCAAAGATTCGACATGCAAACTCACATCATCAAGTATATCGTATTGAAATATTATGTTGTAGAAAATGAAGAACAATTTTCTTGAAGACTTGACTCAATAAGTTTAACTTTATTATAAAATTGAGTTTTTCTTTCTTGACACAATGGTTCATTGTAATTAACTTGCTAAAGTAATCATACTATAACAAAACGAAGAATATTTCATATCGATTATTTATATACATGCATTCGATTAATAAACTTTTTTTCTCTCTAAAGTAATAAAATTTTAATTTACGGTGAATTACACATATTGTATATGTCATCGGTTTTTTTAATGTTATTTGATCTTATACAAATTAAAACTTTACTTGAAACAAAAGAAATATCAAAGACATATCTCCAATAAATGCGTGTTTCATGTGTGACATTACAATATATTAAAAAGACGAAGATCATGCATAGTTTTATAAGAGGTGAAAGAGAACTTGCTCACTCTTATGATATGTCTTTCTGAAAAAACTCGGATGATTTCTTTTCGGACACAACGACCTCTTTAGTACCATGCGACATAGTTCAATAGGATAAACTGAACAACCAGTAGAAGAAACTTTAAAATCCTTTTTTCTTTCTCTCATTTTTAAAGATTTTACATTTAGTATTTCTCTAACAACATGAATGAATGATTTTATATAAATCAATTATATGAAATTATTTCAGGTCAATAAATTTTTTATTCAATCAAAGTAGATATACATTTGTGAAGGCAATAAAAATTCTAACTCTTTTTGTTTTAAACGATAGAAATTATTGAATTCGTATAATAAAGTGAAAATGCACAGATCATCGTGACAAAAGAAATAAAAAAATAAATATTAAAATTAATATGAAATATAAAAAACGAAAGAAAAGCTGTTATAATTAAAGAAAATGATATAATAAATAATCTTATTATATTTGAAGAATATTTTATTACTACAGACATAATTAAACCATTTAATACTTGTGTAATTACAATTAACCATGTATAAAATGTAAAACCATGAAATAGATTTAGATGATTAGTTGTTTTTGAATTTGCTATCATCATACTAATAGCAGGTATTAAATTAAAAATAGTTCCATAAGTATAAAGAAATATATTTTGTAGATGAAGTGATTCCCTATAATTTCTTTTTAAAATCCATTCATTATAAACACCAGCAAGACCACTTAATGTACAATAAATAACTATCATTGGAATACCTAATGGACGTATATACGTTTCACGCATTATTATAGTTGAATTTGTAATAGTCTTTGAAATAAATGATGAACTTTTAAATGTACCTAAACTATAAGTAAGACCACCAAAAAAAAGTAATATTAATGCAAACCATTGTTGTTTTATTAATCGTTTTTTCATAATTAAACGATAAAGAATAGCTGTTGTAAATATTTTAAAATTTGATAAAATTTGATAAGATGTTGGATCCATATGAATTTGTATATGTACAGCTAAATTATTATTTAAAAAATAAAGAATAGCTGGTATTGAATATAATATTGATTGTTTAAACCATAAGAAAATTTGAATTTTATTTAAATGAATTCGTTTTAAACATATAAAAGCATGAAGAGAAAATAATAATTTTATAAATTCAATTATAAAATTCATTATTACTGATGAAAATGTAATCGTACCATTTTTTTCACATAAATGAACTAATATTGAATAAGAACCATATGCAATTATTTGAAAAATTATCATTGCACAAAATAATATTGAATATGAACTATTTTTAGTTCTTTGTTTTATATTCAATGAATTATTTGTCATATATAAAAATTTTGATGACAATGATTCGTTTTCATCATTGCTTGATAGAGTAGAGTCAAACATGGTTAAGTTAAAGCTGGCACTACCAATAATCGACGTTTTATGTTGTTAGAAAAAAGAAAAAAAAAGGAGAGAAAAAGAAGTTGCTTTTCTGAAACACATAAAGAGAACAGAACAAACTGAGTTCAGCGATCTGCACTTATTCGGAGAAAAAAGAAAAAGTAGTGAGGAACATTTGTTTCTGTTCTCCCAATACGGAAAAAAAAATGCCAGAAGAATATATAGTCTTATTATTATACTGTTAATACGCATTGGAGACCAACTATTTTTCGATAGTCAAACTTGATTCTCATGTGAATTTCTACTGATTAAAATCAATATTGTTATAGCATGAAATTTGATTTATGGTTTAATTTTAATTCTTTGATTATGAAAATTGTAAAATTTCAATTTTATTCAGTAAATCTATGATCTATTTTGTATATCTATTACAAAATAATATGTGAATTCGTTGATGGATTATTATTAAAAGGCTAAAGAGAAATTTTTTATTCTGATAAATATTTTCATATTGAACAGTATGGACTATCATTAGGCTAAAAGCTTCAACATCAAATGTCTTATGTTATCTAATCAAATTACGACGGGAGATGTGCAAATTAAAAAACTACTAAATTGCATTAATTTGTTATCGAGAATATAAAAATTATTCAAATAAAGCTCGAGTTTACTTAACGAACTTTTTTCATATAAACTGAATATGTGTTTCACTTTTTTGTAAAACATGATTTATAGCTAGTATTGAAGTATAGAGTGAAAATTTTGAACTCTGCACAGACTGTGACAGACATTATCGATATACGATCATAGAGGGTACATCAATAGCATCCTGTTATAATATATGAACTACTTCTTTGTTACAATTGTGGAGGACTAAGTGAAAGAATGGTGAAGAAATGTGTCTCAGCATAGATAGAATAAAACAATCTCCCAGGGGTTAACAAGAGCAATTACACTGTGTTTCACACTTTAATCACCTAGGAATTGCGCTAACAGCCTTTTTTTGATGGTTCATTTAATTTTTTGTTTTTCTTTTCGCTTATCTAATCGCTTTATGAGACTGCTATATATGTCAATTCATGCAGAATATAAATTCCAATTGAATGTGATGCATTTGTGAATTATTCACTAGCATTGCAAATCTTCATAATATAATTGCCTCACAAGAGAACATTTTCAGGTTCTAAATAGTTTTTGAGCTGAAATTTTACTCACAAGTAGAGGATGAAGAGACTAGAGAAAGCGTCGGATAATACGAGCGCCAGTTGCAATTTGACTGAAATACCGACATTTTACTACAATTTTCCTGTAGGATCCCACTTTTGCGGTAGAATCAAAGTTTCAAAATTTTTGAACAAATCATCTCCAAGATATGAATTTTCCAAAATATCCATGCATAACACAATTTCCATAACACAAACGTCTTTGCGCTAACATACTAGTATATTGGAAATACTTCATTCTTAGATTTCCTTCAGTGTATGCATTCCCTATTTGTGAACAAAACTGCAGCTCAAAAGCTTTTTGGCAGCACCTAGGAAGATCCTCTCGTCAGAGTCAAAAATCAGCATCTATACAATCGAAGACATTGAATGCGGTAATAAACGTATTCTACAATGATATCATGCAAAGAGAATTGATACATGTCTTTTCTGACGAGGAGACATTTGCAACTGTCTAATCCCTTTTGAGTTCGAACTCTATACATATTGTACTGTAATTTTAGCCTATGACATGACATATATCATACTATAGACTACAAGTTTACCTTACGTACAGGGTCCGAACTCAAAAGTGATTGAGTAGTTGAAAGCGTTCTCTCGTTAGAGATTCAAAGAGGAACGTTTTACAGTGACTTGTCCATAAAAACAGCAATATTTCATAGTATTACAATCGAGTTTTAGCGTATAAACATCAACCTATATCTGTCATTTGGCGATAGTGATGATGAATACTAACAAGAAAAGAGAGAGTATTGATTGCATATTTTGTTGTTTGTAATAAGAATATAGAAAACCGAAGATGAAAAGAGACAGTCATATATACTATTTGATCTTTATATGTATCAATGGTATCTACAATGGATCAACAAAAAAAAATGATGAAATTTTTTCTCTATTATGATTTTACAAGATTAATGTTGAATTTTAACCTACTGCAAACTTATCCTAAAATTTTTATATCCCCGCAAGACATTGGATTTATTTCCTATGCTATGACTTTTTATTTACTTAAAAATATAATACTAAATAATCCTACATTATTCTATGTTTTCTCATCATTACTCAATAAATGATAGCTTTATTTCAATACTTACTGTATATATATATATAGATGAATCAGAATTTCTTTTAATTTTACTATCATATATCATTCTTCGTTGATCAACCATAATATTTTGAAGTACTTAAGTATTACCTACACACGCTAATATGTAACAAAAAACTTTCAAAATAAATGAAAGATTTAATGAGATTTATTTGTTTTTTTCTTTGTTCATATAAACATATCGAATATTTTAAAGAATAAAAACTTAATTGAAATATCTGATTAACTCGAAATATGATTCTTAGACATTTTATTTACACAATAATATTGCTTAGATATGAATCAAACAACTTGATTATATAATTTATTTCTTCAATATTATAAAAATTATTTTTTCCAAATAAAAATATATTTCTTTGTTTGAAATCCATTAAAATTCGAAGCACTTGCATTTGTATATGAACCAACACCTGGAAACCATAAAACATCACCAATATCTAATAATGGTAAATCAATCGAATGTGCAATACAATCAGTTGAATCACATGTTGGACCAAATATAACTGATCGAAATTGTGGATATTTTTTTTTCTTATCTTTTTTCATTTTTAAATAATGTACAATAAATGTTTTATGATCAAATATAATAGCATTAAATGTTCCATAAATACCATCATTAATATAATAAATATTATCGGCATTTTCAATAAGTGCTTTGTCAGATTCGGAATTGTTATCACTGTCATCATTATTTTCGAATGAATTTGATGTACTACCAGATATATTACGTTCAAGTTTCACGATTTTTTCATTTGATTTATAAACACGATTGTGAATACGTCGAGCAATAATACGAGTGACTAATGTCATACCTCCAGATGAAAAATAACGGCCAGGTTCTGATATTATTGTAATATCTATAAGAGAATTTTTTTATTTGATCTTATAAGTAGTCAAAGTGATCGAATTATCTGTTCTTTTTTTTTTTTTGTAGACATATTATATCTAGGACGATAGATATTTGATATACATATTTACCTTCTAATTTAGGAAATAATTTATCCAATGTATTATTAATTATTTTAGCAACTTCAGGAAAACTTGGTTTATCCCAATCATAACCTGAAAAACCACCACCAATATCTAATATTTTAAAATTAAATCCGAATTCATCTTGTTGAGCAATATCAAAAATACGTCGTGCTTGTTTAAGAGTTTCTGTGTAGACTTTAGGATCAAGACATTGACTACCGACATGAAATGAACATCCAACAAGATTAATATTTAATTTACGAGCCAATCGAAGTAAAGTAATACATTCACGTTCGTTAGCACCGAATTTCATTGAAAATGGACTCAGTGAATGTCTATCATCAGGTTTAAGACGAAGAAGAACCTATTTAAATGAGAAAAAAAAAGTCATTAGTATAATTTTATGAAAGTAATCTTTTGACTTTTTATTTATTGACTTACTTTAGCGTCGGGCCAATGTTCTTTTAATTTTTTAAGTTCATCTTCATTATCCACTACTGTCATTTGTACACCTACTTGACGAAATTGTCGAATATGAGATATAGATTTGCATGGATGAGCAAAGATAATACGTGTAGCATAATCAAAATTATTACCACATGTTTCACGTACTAGATTGAGTTCTTCAGATGAAGCACAATCAAAGCCACCACCTAATTCAGCAATAATTTCAATGATGAAATTCTTAGGATTGCTCTTAATTGCATAAAAAGGATGAATACGACCAAGAAAATGCATCCATTGCAAATATTGACGAGCATAATGAGATAGATTAACAATATAAAATGGTTCATCATTATCAGATGAAAATTCTTCACAACATTTTCTAAATAGAAAAAAGAAAAATTATCAAACTGATTATACAATTCGATATTTGTTTTTCTTACTTGACAATAGATGCTGTAGATTGTTCATAATCAACATGTTTGGCACCCAATTTGGTTTCAAATAATTCTTGAAGATGATGAACTTGAAATTTTTGTTTTCGCTTTTTAACTTTTGTTGCTTGTTCATCTTGATCATGACATAAATCACGTAGAATTTCATTCGCATCTTTAAAACTAAATTCATGAGTTAAATTAGTTCCTACTGGTTGTTCAGTATCATCATATTCATTATCATCAGCTTTTTGACAATCATTATAACTTGTTTCAGGTTTCGATGTTTCATTACGATGATGTTGATAATTAGCCATTCTTTTCTTATCTAAATTTGAAAACAAACGAAAATGACAAAGAAAGAAAGAGAAAAACGTCAAAACAATAGTAGATTCAGTATAATCATGACTCATTCCCCGTATTGTACTCGATGACGTTACTGTTATTTATAAACGCTCGATATGTATATATATAAGAGTTTCATAGAGTTCCAGAATGATTTTAAAATTCATCATTTTTGCGTTAAGAAAAAGTAAATTTCTTGAAACTTTAGCAGATTATTATGCCTAGTTGATACAAAAATAACTACAAACAGTGATGTCTATAGCTTTTACTAAATATGCAAATTTGTAACAACATTATCATGCATTATTTTTTCAGTTTTTCAATATTTTAAGCTGATAAAATACGATACAAAAATTATGGAATAAATGTTGATCCCAGGATGTCCTTGGTAAACACGTAGCGAAATTAAAAATGTAT